ACAAAAACAATAAGTAGAGATGCACCAATCAGGCGTTGCCAGCCAATCTAGATAGTTTTTGGACTTCTACAAGCTGGTCTTTGAAAATGTTGTTCTTATTAACCAAATATCCAGAAGAAACATTAAACATAAAAGAAGCAATTTGTTCACAGAAACGTTTCAATGCACTTCTGAACGTTCAACTGAGAGTTAAGTAAAACAACACTTAATAGAGGGATTTCACTTCTTCCTGCAAACAACAATCTGAAAGCCAAAACATGCAAATGTGTTCCTTTAAGTCTGATTCTTCTAAATAAAATCTAGAAGCTGCAGCTCTATAGCCACATCTGGCTCTTCAGATATTAAATTAAGAGACCCCTTATTTGATTTGACCTTTTACGGGCACATATTTGAGTAAAGTGAACTTTATTCGTCTATTGTCTGAACTACTGGCAACATGTCTCTGAAATTCCAAGCAAAACTTTAGCCTTTATTTTCAGAAAATGAGAAAGGGTCAAAATAAAGGAAAACATCCAGTCCTTTCAGACCTCGAATGATGCAAGGAAAACGAGTTCAGAAATCAATATTTGGCGGCATAGCGATGAGGTTTTTAATGGGGGTCAGTGCAGAGGGCTCTTCATTTTTTCCATAGCTGTATTTTTTTATATGTATTAAATGAGTTGAGGTTTGTGGTTTCAAAGCGACAAATTCCAAAAAAGTTCAGGGGGTAAGAACGCATCCCTGCTGACTCCCGGTTAGCAATAAATCAGCGGGGAAAAATGTCCTGATTTCAGTTCCCTGCAGACTGACTGGCACATCGCTCATGACAAAACATCCCGATGTTTTGAAGTTTTTCTAGCGGTGTTGCAGGCTGCACTTTGGCGCTACTCTGTAGCTTCTGAAGCGACTCGTCATTGTTACGAATGTGTTACCATCTAGAGCTTCCTTCTCTGAGTCCGAGTCCCAACTCAGAGAGGAAGGAAAGGCTGAGGACTTGAATCTACTCTGCGCGTCCCTCTGTGGGTCTGCGGCCGCCCGCTCTGGGTCGTCCTCTCCATCTAGCTCCCACGCGCAGTCGACCGCCATCAAGCCGTCGCTCAGATGTGGGGAACATGGGGACTAGATCGCAGAAACACGGGTCAGTGACCCCGGTCTGACGCTGGAAATGGACATCAACCACAAAGCGGCGCAGGTCTTACCTCGAAGCTGCAGCTGAGGAAGTTAGCGGCGGTAGGATTTTGTGCTGAGCCGTAGGATAGGGGCCCATTGCTGGTCCCTGGGGTCAGGGGCTGCCCATCTGGCTCCATGGTCCCCCAGAGGACAGTATGGAGTCCCACCGGCAAACAGCGTCCCTACATTGTGCAACCTCTTCTGAGTCTGGAAGCACACACTCAAATGTAACTTTTTTTTGGTTTGTTTGTTTTTCCACTGCAAGAAAACTTTCATGCTGCAGGAATGCGCATGCATTGATAAACAGAGCTGCAAAATCAGCACAGGAACAATGAAATCTGCAGAATCCTCCTATTCCCCCAGCTCCAGTTTGTTCTCGTGCCGTCTGACCTATTTCCAACAATATGTCTGGTATTTAAGAATCAAATGGGGCGCCCAGATGGTTACATAAATAAGTGGCCTTTATATTCAGGCCCATGTCCTCCCCTCGCCTGCTGCCCCCTCTAGAGAAGCAGGGAAACGGATCGAGATGTCCCCCCCACCCCCGGGTTTCGCCTCTTGTCGCCTCGGAAGACGTGGCTCGTATCGATCCGGGTGGTCAGGTGATCGGGACAACAACACATCCGTGCAGACTTGAAGGAAGAAAAAGAAAAGAGAAAGAAAGTGCGGCTGTTTTCTTGACTACTCACTGAAATCGGCCTGGTTCTGCGGGTCGCGCGGCGGGGGCTTGACGCCGTCTCAAGCGCCGGCCGTCATGGCTCCTGGGCCGGGATCCGGGGCTCGACGAGCCGCTCCGACGCTCGCGGGGATCCGCCGGGCTGCTCCGAAGCGGACCGGCTCGCGCCCCGCTCTCTAGTTGCCGCTCGGGCTTCTCGACGGGATCCCTCCTCGGAGGCGCCAGGCGGAGGACTCCATGTTACTGGGCTCGCAGGCACGCAGCGTGCGTAACGTCAGCGGGGAGGGCGACGGAAAGAGTCGGGAGAGGAAGCCCACCGGGGGGGCGACTTTAATTAGCCCAAACTTTTACTGCGGCGGGCCTTTTTGCACGCGCGACGTGTTTTGATATGTCGACGTGCGTCTTTGTTTGAATGTCGGCTCAGATATTTTCTTCCTGGTGAAACGACCGTAAAGTTAGCAAAACGCCGCGTCTGAAGTGATGTTTCTTGATAAAGTTGATTTTTAGGTGACGTCAGTTGTTAAATGACGGTCCTCCACATCATGTTGAACTTCTAACATTTATCTCGTGTGTTATAATGTCGGTACTCACACAAGCTCGTCGGTGGGACTCACACTGTCCATCGTTTTGGTGACAAAAGTGTCTGTGACGTCTGCTTTTTTTTTTTGTTTGTTTGTCGATAGGTTCGTTTAAAATCAATACAGGCTGGAAATCGATCGTCTTCTGATTATTAGTCGGTGCGTTGGCTCCCCCTGCTGGCCGTAACAGACATAGTTCCTTTGATGCATGTAAGCACAAGTGATGTTTGGGGGAGTGGCACAAGGCCTCTTTCACCCACCCCAAACACAACACATACACACTTCATCCATCCATCCGTCCATCCATCCATCCATCCATCCATCCATCCATCCATCCATCCATCCATCCATCCATCCATCCATTTTCTTCCGCTTATCCGAGGTCAGGTCGCGGGGTCGCGGGTGGGTAGCCGCTTCAGGAGGGAGGCCCAGACTTCCTTCTCCACTGCCACTTGTTCCGGGGGAACCCCAAGGCGTTCCCAGGCCAGCCGAGGGTCATAGTCACCCCAGTGAATCCTGGGTCATCCACCGGGGGCCTCCTCCCGGTGCGTTGTGCCCGGAGGCGTCCTAATGCCTCCTGAGCCCTTTCTGTCACTAATAAAGAACTAAAATATTTTATTTGAAGAATGAAACGGGATAATCAATGGATCCGTACATCTTTAGTTGACATGATATATATGATGTAAATGTGATATGTGAACTGCTTTTTCTCTTCTCCTTGTTCCAGCAGCAAAGTAATTGAAACTATATTAAGATTAAAACGACAGGAAAAAATAAGAGGAAAGAACATGCCGTTTTTACAAGAACATCGATGATTACGTAGGAGGATCAGGGCTGCTTTTTTTGACACTAATGCACTAATTATTATCCCAAACCAGCAATGAGCCAACAGGAAATGTATCCTAAAAATACGTATGTGTTTATTGGTGAAATGGTGCTGCTGTAGGCTATATTTCCGCTGATTAGACTGTGCACAAAAATACAGATTAACGGTCTTGCATTCAAAATATCTTCACAACTCAAAATGCTTCAAATCATACAAGCTTGTCATCATTATATCCAAAAACTTCATTTCAGTGCTATAATAAGACTCATATCCTGACCTAATTTTATCTGGTCGCATTTGAATTTGCAGAACTCAAGCCAGTGTGTAAGGATGTTGCCATTCACAGAGGACAGACACAGAGCTGACGCACTGTGGTGAGACTCGTGTCCGCTTAAATTCACATTTTTGCACTAGAGCGTCTGCGGATGTGCAGATCGGTGCGGTCTGAGCCAAAAAAAAAAAAAAAAAAAGGTCAGTGACACGAGCTGCGGGAGCGCTGACGGGAACAAGGAGTCTGTATGAGATACAAGATTTCAACGCGGAGTCAGCTGGGAACGTTTGCAACTGTTGGCATGATAGCGCAATCAGTGGAAGGCCGGACAAATGTTGCCAGTGCCGAAGATTTGCTTAGCAAGCAGACTGACTCTTCTCTACAACGCTGAGAAAGGCAGCAGTTTGTTTTGTTTTTTTTCTCATGAAAACAACGACCTGGGTGGGTGGTGGGCTTTGAGAGAACGTGATCCACTTAGAGTGGGCAGTAATTCATCTGTTATAACAGGAGACATGTTTGGTGCAAATCTTGTTAAAGCTACGCTTGGGAATGATTATAGTAACTCTGCTGCCTTAGGAAATGCCAGTCTGCAGGCTTTGGTTCTATCGCTTCATATGGTCGGGAAAAAATTTTATTTGGAAGGACTTTGAATTTACATCAACCAAATAAGCTTTTACTTACGTGATGGAATATTTACTTAATTAGCAATAGTAATGCAACGACTCTTTCCTCGCGCTGATTTAACATGAATTGGATTATTAAAGTGGTTTGAATTTAGTTTTATTACTGGAAATGATCGAAGCTACCAAAAGACAACAACCGAACATGATTGGACGATAATCAGAAGTCTTCAGAGTCCTAACCAATAAGATGCCAACCAACTTAATTTGAAGCTGTAGTAACTTTGATAGAATCAAAAATTGACAAAAATTGAGCTCTTCTCCCAGTGCTAACTAGAAACAATCAGTCAGGGGCAGGAGGCGGGTCTTAGCGCTGTCAGTCATCCTCCCTGTGGCGCTGCTCATCCACCCCTTTCACTCTGCTACGCTGCAGCTAGCATAGCCTGTTGTAAAAACTAACATTAGTTACCATAGCCACTGAAGACAGTAGATTAATGGTTTTCCTGTTGGTTGTTTCTTTGCCATTAGCACATTTAGCAACTGGCACTTGAGATTGATTGACAGCGCTAAGACCTGCCTCCTGGCTCTGATTGGTTGCTTTTGTTCGGGAGCGGTGCATTTCTTCAGATGGCACTAGTCGCTCAGGAGAAAATTATTGATTTCTCATCAATTTTCTGTCTCAAAACGTCCTGTCACGACATGTTGACAGTTCTGACACATATGTAAAAACATAATTGTTTGTAAAAGTTGCTTACTGCATCTTTAAAGAACTTGCAGTCGTCCAAGCAGTTTCTAGAACGTGGTTTAGCCACTTCTGGCCCTGTAGGATGTGGATTTGAGTCTAAAACTTTACTGGATAAAAAAAAAAATTAAAAAAGCATTTTAATGTTTAAGCATTTCCTTTAATATACCCACAACCATCAAGAAAATCCCTAAAAGCCAGTTTCACAGAGAAGGTCTTGTCAAAGTGCTCACACCCATTGAATATTCCATTTTACATGTTAGATTAATACAAAGAATTACATGAATAATAGGAGAAGAAAAAAATCTTTATTGTATGTTTTTTTTCTTCATTTTTCAGTTTCCCATCTCATGGTTTTTGTGTCTTGACTTTCTGTAAAGAAGAAATAAATATGTAAGAAAATAAAAAAGTAAACAGACCAAATCTTTTACTTTTAAGCAACACAGAAAGAAAAAAGAAACACTTTAAAAAAACGTTGCATTTGCGACGTTTTTATGACGCGAATTGTGCAAATATACAAGACTCAAGTGTCGTAAATTATGGTGCAACTTCAAAACTAAGCAAAGTGGAAAAACATCCAAGTTCTCTTGTTCAGATATTTTACAATGTCTCTCAGTTATGGCGAGATTTGGAAACTTCAGTATCTACTGAGGTTGTTTACGAGCTGCGGCATGAAACAGAAACAAAACATTGTGTCCGAGGAATTGATTCTCTTGAGGCAACCTTGAACTTATGAGTCGGCCCATTCTGGTAAAGAGACATCCAAGACTTCTGTAACTAATATTTTAGGGCTTTAAGACTTTGAAGGGAGATAGCTTTAGTAAAATTCCAATGGATAAATAAAGTAAATACCATCCCCGAAGAATCTGTATCAACTAACTCTAAGTATAAAGGAATAGTGTATAGAGTTGGCTTTTTATACAGAACAACAGTGCATTCCGACAATAAACCAATAACAATAAATATCGCAATAGGCATGTCGTCAATGGCAATAGATAATACACCTGGTACGATAAATTATTTCACTGATCGCCAATCTATAACTGCACAGCATTCTGGGAGATGTAGGTGGAGGAAAGAGTTTACCCACTCAACCTCTCAAGGCCAGCTTAGCTAGGTCTGCAGCATGAGCTAACTCACTCATTGGTCACCTAGCAACAAATTAAGTAACTTGCTTTTTAAAGTTTTGCCACCATGCCTCCTAACTGTGGAGAAATAAAAACCAACAGTGTGAGAAACTGAGGACAAAAGATCACGTCACCAGACTGGTAGTATTTCACAAATTTAAAAGAAAACCAGTAAAACCAATAATTATTAATGTCGACTGATGTAAAACTCATATGTCGTTGTAGGTTTATCATCCAGCCCTGTGCCGCGTTATTCAGATTTTTATTTGTGGACATATCAGCTCTATCTTATGTGGACTTGGTTACTGACAACTAACCACTTTCAAGACCCATTTCTAATCTAGTTTTTTTTAAAAATCTGCTACCATTATGTTTTCAGCTTCATTTCTTAGAGCTCAGAATTTTCTCCGTCTTACCGTTCCAAGAGACACTACTTGGTATAATGAAGGATTCCTACGTACCCCAAAGTGTTTCCAGCCACTGATTTCTTTGTAGAAGGCGTCTCCTGGACAGGTTGTGTTCACCACATCTCTGTGCCCTTGCAGGGTGTAGGAGGACACCAGCCCACCTCTGTCTACCGCACAGGTTGCCAGCTGATCTCTCACCAGACTCATGGCATGCTGAGACGGCAGATTGGTTTGGTAGTCCCCAATAAAGGACACGCCGTAGCCTCTAGAGTTTTGCCCGAAGGTGTGGGCTCCCTGGATGTTCCAGCCCCGGCCCTCGTAGATGAACCCGTCAGAGCCAGCGACAAAGCTTTGGAAGGATTTCATTGTGAGATTAGTTCGTACGTTTGGCATGCAGGAGTAATCTCACAATGCTGTGGTTTACCTATATCCAATGTCATCCCAGCCTCTGTCTTCTTGGTGGAAGCGCTGCATGGCTCGCATGTCTGCAGAGCATTTCTCAAAGGTCAAGCAAGGCTCGCTCGGTGTGTGGGTGTGATGGATGAACAGGAAGGACAGAGGCAAGGAGAGGTTGGTGGGCGTTCCTCTGTATGGCTCAGCGCCCCACATACATCGAGAAATGATGGGCGGGCAATCTATGAAGACACAGAAGGCATTAAATGTTTACTTACAACATTCTTTTCTGTTCTTGAATTCTTTCAAAGAACAGAATTCTTCATGCTTACTCAGGTACATGTGAACAAACTCTCCCAGGGCCTTTTTCACCGCAGCCCTCAGCTTCCTACTGGTCGTCACCTTCATCTTTGGTTGTCCTGTTAGTCTTTGTTGCAGTTTCACTGTCCTCATTGTCTTTTTCATCAAGGGAGAAGGGAAGACAAAAAGTTGGAAGTTCTCCCTGCGACGTTGACTGATGAGACGTGGGGCACTGTACATTCCCTTCCTGTCCAGTCTGTGGCTATAGTACTCCTTCAACAGACTGCTGAGCTTGAGGAGACGACTGGAATTGGCTGAAATCTCCATTCCCAATATAATGCCGTCCATTCTTCCATTGATCTGAGCTATAGTGAACAGATTTGGTTTGCCAGAGAGCGTGAAGACTTGAGGAGACGTTACGTTGTTCCAGCACCCATCAGGACCGAGGAAACGTGTGCCTGAAGAAAGACGTTTGAAAGAAACACCAAGATCTTTGGCAAGAATGAGCTGGAAGTGAGCTTGACTTTTGGTCTTGAGGATGCCCGCTTCAATGCCCAAGAGGAGCGGTGCGACCGTTACTGTGGTACCGTCTGGGGTCAGAACCACGCCTTCTTCTTTGAAATCTTCCAGCACCCTGTGACGCACAGCCTTGCGAAAGTATTCGGAGAGGTGTGCAGGCATTTCAGAAGCAGCTTGAGCGTCTGGAAGGAAGTGTCGGATGAAGGCGTCATTTAGGTCAGCTGCTCTGCGCAGCCTTTTCAACACAGTAGCTGGATCGGCACCAGGGTCCTCATCTTCTATCTGCTTCACAGCCCTGATGAAGTCTTCCATGTGGTATGAAAAGGAGGCTGGAGACAAAAACATTTCTTTTGCATATTAAAAGAAGCACCTTTTGATAACCAATATTGAGGTAATGGTAAAGCTGAAATTGAAGTTCTCTAAAGACGGATGCATTTAGCTAGCAATGTCCCGGAGTAGCTTAACACTGGTCTGTAAAATGGCTACTTAGCTAATGTCAGCTTGTTGTTGATCCCTGTTGTCTCTTGTTGCAGAAACAGTTTTCTAAGTATATTACTACTATAGCATATGCAATGCAATTGGTCAGCCTTTCCAATAGTCTTTTCTAGGGGAAGGCGAATATTATTGGGACAAATTATTTTGACTGAAAAACACATTTTTTAACATGTCTTTTAAGTTTTAACACTGGATACTGGTAAAACTAAAAATAAAAAAAAACTAAAGGTGTTTTTTTCTTTTTGACATAAATAAATCAATAAATGTTTTAATAGCTTTCAATTGAAATAGTGGATGTTACTCTTAAAAAAATAAATAAAATTAAATCTTAACATTGAATCTTCCTGCATAAAACCATTTCTGGTCAGTGAAACTAATAAACTCATTTACCGTAAGCTTTAAAGTTCCACATTCGGGCTCCCCTTAATGACACAAAATCTGACAGAAATAATTTTTCTGCGGTCAGCAAAATTTGCTTCCCCTGAGGGAAATAAGACCATTAACAAAAATATGAATATAAAACATTGTCTAAAACCTCACAGGAAAAAAAGAGAGGTGAAATCTGGTCAGATGAGAATCCAAAGCCTTCAACAGAATGTTGTTGAACATTTTATAGTACTACTTATAAAAAATAAAGCTAAAAAAATAAAAACTACAAAAGCGGGTGCAATATACAAATATCTGACTTTGTTCAGGTAAAGGCTGAAAAACAATATTATTCCCAGCATTAGGGAATAAATAGTAGTCAACATTTAGCTTCCAAATCAAAATCTGGGTGAGTAACATCTTGGCAATTTTAGAGGATTATAATGTTCCCAACCATGTTATTTTAAAGCAAAGCTGACCTTGAGTTTTGCACAAAAAAAAAAAAAAAAAAAAACAATAAAATAATCATTTCCATTACCAACACAATAATCCACTTAAAAGTGTTTCTTTCATTATGGAGCAAGAAATAATAACGAATGAGCCAGAGAATGTTTTCATCACAAAGCACAGTGCGTGTAAAAATAAAATCAAACAAAACAAAACAAAATCAAACAAAAACAAAACAAGACAAAACAAAATAAAACAAAACAAGAGAAGAGAAGACAAGACAAGACAAAACAAAATAAAACAAAACAAGAGAAGACAAGAAAAGACAAAACAAAACAAAATAAAATTAAAACAAAACAAAACAAGACAAGAAAAGACAAAATAAAATAAAATAAAATGAAATAAAATAAAATAAAATAAAAGTGAGAAGCAGATGAGAATTACCTTCTGCATACGTCCTGACCAGCAGAACCAGAAGAGCCAGGGTCAGTTTCCACCAGCCCTGCTGATCCATCCTGAGCTGCACCCACTCTGAATGTGCTCACCTTTGTTGTTTCCCCCTAATTTATAGACAAGCCGCGCGCGCGGTGTGGTTATGCAACAGCCTCGCGCGCACTCTGGATGGCCCGCGCTTGCTCTTCAATCAACCCGCGTCCCGCTAATATGGGAAACGGTCACCTGTGGGCTTCGTTGTCAACCGAGCGGAGAGGAAAACACGCAGTTTCGTCCTCGCGACGCTCAGCTTCTGTCACAACGGGCGCGAACAAAAATCTCAGTCTATATCACTAACGTGCCAGGTCCACCAACCGCATACATTAAGGCCGCTCCTCTCTGAGGTAACAGTGTTTGCTCTTGTTAATAGCAATCTGGAAGGCAAAGGTCGCCTGCAAAACTGAGGAAGTTCCAAAATCATAAATCAACTGTAACGTCGGTGAACGTGGGAACCCCGACTCGATATGAGGAGAACGAGAAGTGCGCCGTTTCCCTGGAGACATGTAAAGTCCGTTTACCGTAACCTGTGACAACGTGACGTTTATGAGAATAAACTGAAAACATGAACATGTGGGGAAGTTCTATTGGTGTGATAAACCAACACAAATGATTGGGAACTGCATCTGGAGAAAGAAACCCCCTTGCTAAGCTATAACAAGTTAGTTTGCTAAGGAAAACTGTACATTTTAAAAGAAGCTGCTCTGATTAGCTGAGACAAAAAAAAAAAAAATTGGCCTACTTGTAAAGCATGGTGGTGGCACCGTCATGCTTGGTAAAGAGTTCACCTTCCAGCAGAACAACGACCCTGAAAATGATGCTAGCTAAAGGCAGCTACAGCAACAGAGATGACAAAAGGGCTCAGTCAAAGTCCAGATCAAATGTGCAAAGCTGGCAGAGAGACCACAAATGGAAAAATGGGGCTGATTGGAAATACCTGCCACACCTTTCATATTTTGGGGGTTTGTTTTTTTTAAAAAACCACACACACTGTTTTACTTTTACTTGAGTAATACATAAAAACAAAACAAAAAAAACTTTATATATATATATATATGTGTGTGTGTGTGTGTGTGTGTGTGTCGTGTGTGTGTGTGTGTGTGTGTCATTATATTATTTGCATATTTTATATCATTTTAGCATAGCCTTTAAACAGCAGAATATGCATGTAACTTTAAATTATTGCATGTCTGATTTACGTCATTTTAAATTAATGTTAATCTCTCTTTATCTTTGTACCAAATACATGTATACTCTTACTTCAGTATTTTGTTGGATGACAAGTTTTTGCTGTCACTTGTGTGAAGCACTGAGTCCACTGGAGGACAGATTTTGGCTAATGTGTTCACCTCAGATCAATAAAAATAAACCGTTCGGCTCCCGCACACTAGGTGGCGGAACACAGTGAAACTCTAGTAGGTCACGAGGACAACAAGAAGAAGAAGAAAACGGGAAGAAGCGCTTCAACGTCGCTGTTTTAGCTTCAATAAGGTGCGTTTATCTCTTCAAAACGTTATTGACGCGTAAGTTTTGGAAGTTAATTGTGTACTATACGTTTTTCAAGCAGTGTATGGTTTTAGATTTTGGATATATTTGTAGTTGGAGGCATTATTGGGTTACAGCTAGTAGCTGAGCTGCTAATCCCTAGCACTGACCAGCGGTTATTTAGGTTGAACCATAGCTTTAAATTGAGTCTTTCAACATTTTAAAGATTATTTTGCGTCCGACTTGCAGCTGGAACCCCAAAGTTGCCATATTTGTGGTGTTTTTTGCTGTTTCCCCACTGTGAAAATGCAGTTCCTTACTCCTACAACTGGGATGCAAATTAACTAGCATCCTGTTTGAACTCTTCGGGTTTCCGTAGCGGGACAAAATAAAGTCAGACCTGCTTTTTCCAGCTTTCAGTTCTACTCTGTCATTATTGTTGGTGTGAAATAAAGTTCAAATTTAAAAGTTGTCTGCTGCGTTCAACAGCAGACAACTTAGCTCGCGAAGTTAAGAGCCTCAATCATTTATGCAATTCAGAAGTACTTATTGATCTGAAAGGGAAACTGAATGTTCTTTTTAACATTAAGATTCTTCAGAGTTGCTGTTGGTTCCCATGGTAGCGGGCAGAAATGATCTCCTGTAGCAGTCTGTATTACAGTGAATCTGAAAAAAGCCTCTGATTGAAGACACCAGAATCAGTGAGAATTTCTGTAGATGACACTGGAAGAGCAAAATAGAAACGTTTGACTATAATGTTCAGCGGCCCAGGAAAACATGTCAGCAGTTCTGTTTAGTTTTGACTTGCGACGCGCCTCAGTTGGTCGCTGCCTCTAAAAGAGATCTAAATGTTTGGACGCCGCCATTCTCCAGCAGGAAAATGGACACGCGGTTCACTCGGGGAAAGTCCACCATCCTGGAGCGACCGCTGAGCCGGCCCAAGACAGAAGTGAGCCTGAGCGCCTTCGCCCTGCTGTTCTCGGAGATGGTCCAGTACTGTCAGAGCCGCGTGTACTCGGTGACGGAGCTGCAGACGCGCCTCGCTGAGATGGGTCAGCGCGTGGGGGCCAGCATGCTGGACGTGCTGGTGCTGAGGGAGAAGAACGGGAAGAGGGAGACCAAAGTGCTGAACATGCTGCTCTTCATCAAGGTCAGCGGCATTTAAATTTTTATTTTTTTTCCCAACAATGCACTGCTTGTGTTTCCATAGTTCTCAGTGATGCCATCTTGTTTGACAACCATGTTTTAAAACTTCTGTTTATTTGGACTTTGAATTTATTCATTCATATTCTTCTTCTTCTTTTTTTTTATTCAGAGAAAGAAGTCATAATATTAAAAGAATACAATCGTAATTGTAATACAGTTGTATAGTAGTAATATAAAAACATTTCTGAGAAAATTAACCAAAAATGTAAGTGACAAATGCTGAATGTGAAGTTATATCTTGGTATAAGTTATATAGATAATACTTAATCTTTTAACACATCAGCATCAAATTATCAGTTGAAGGGCCAAACAATCAAACAAACAACTGAGTCCATTTTGAAGGAAGAACTACGGAGAAAAAATCCTGATAACTAAGCTTTTTTTCATCATAACCTTTTTCTTGTAATTTTTTTAAATGTTTTTTTCTTGTAAATGTCTCTTTTTGCTAATTTTATGACTACATTGTCCAAATTAAACTAAAAGATTCTTGGGGGAAAAAAAGTACTTTTTGAAAACAATTTCTGCCAAATTAAAAACCCATTAAAAATGGGTCTGGTGTGCGACTCAGTTCTTTTTTATTATTATTATTATTATTTTTCAAGCCACATCACCCCGTCCTTGTTTGTCGGTCTCTATAAGAATAAAATAAGAATAAATCAAATTTCTCCGTCCCCTTCAGGTTAACGTGTGGAAGTCCTTATTTGGTAAGGAGGCCGACAAGCTGGAGCAGGCCAACGACGACGACAAGACCTATTACATCATCGAGAAAGACCCGCTCATCAACGCGTACATCTCCGTGCCCAAAGAGAACAGCAGCTTGAACTGTGCAGCCTTCACGGCCGGCGTGGTGGAGGCCATCCTCACGCACAGCGGCTTCCCCGCCAAGGTCACCGCTCACTGGCACAAGGGCACCACGCTGATGATAAAGTTTAATGAGTCAGTCATAGCCAGGGACAAGGCTCTGGACGGCAGATGAAGACTTACCAACCGGAGCTGCAACGGTTCTGATCCAGGAGATACTCTGATCCTGGTGATACTCTGATCCTGGTGTACAGAGGTCCAAAGCTGATTAATTGACGTGATGTGAAGAGACGAAAAGTAGCGTTTTGTCGGTTTTGTGGATCATCTTTAGTGTGTTGTACTTATTGGCATGTGTGGTTGTTTGTTTGCATTCTGAGTCTTATTAAACATGAAATAAAAACTGCAATGAATATTTTGTTGCTTGATTTTTTTTTAAAGCCAGACAAAATTTTTAAAATTTTTAAAATTTTACATACTTTTATTATGCTCCACACATCATAAATTGCAGATATCTTAATACTTCATATGTAATCAGTTGTCAACTGATCAACCAGCGTCAGTGAATAGCTTTTTTAAAATTTCTCTGCATAAAAAAAAATGTAAGAACTCCCAATATTTTTCATTTAAAACTGCATCATGAAAAAAGTAAATACTCAAAAAGTGAATGAAGTAAAAGTATTACATGTGAGTGAAGAGATAAATACTGGTGCAAAAATGGAGATAATCCTTTTTTCCGTCAGACTGTCAGTTCCCAGAACCACCCACATAAAAAACGACCGAAAAGCGCACAGTCAGTGCAACCCCGCTGGACGGGGTTAAAAGATCGTCTCTTAAGCTCAAGGAAGGGCTTCAGAGGAGCTGCAACAAATGTAACTTTTTATGAGCTGCAGTCTTTTGAAGTAAAAAAAACAACAACAAAACAATTAGAATCTAGCTGCATTTCTGGTTGTTATAATTTGCCATGGAAATGAGTGGAAATACTGTATGCTTGTTTTAGTTTCTCCCTGTTCACTTTTGTAAATCGACCAGAGTCCAGAAATATTTTCAACAAAATTTCCAAAACTCAAAACTTTTCAACTCACAAAACTTGGGACGCTTTCAAAATCGGCTCTATTTTTTTCTAGTAATTTCTGAGCTCGCTCTCAAAATTTCAGAATTTTTTTTTCTTGAAATTTTTGACTTTTGAAGCTCAGAAATATCCTTTTTTTTTTTCAGAAAATTTCTGAAATATGCTGTTTCACTTACGTTGCAGATAAAACAACAAAGTGTTCATTATATTTGCTTAGAGAATAATAATAATAATAATAATAATAATAATAATAATAATAATAATAATAATAATAATAATAATATATTGTTAAGCTGAATAAACACATTTATCAAAACGTAAACAATAAAGAGCCATGACCTCAATATGTATCCTACCTGTCTCTCTCTGATCCTTCGCCCTGCTCTTGTTTTCCTCTGTGACGTAGCTGTGGTCACGTGACAACCAGGAAGCTGCGGCGGTGTTTACCTCAGCGCTGCGCCGCCGAGCATCCTCGGTTTTGCCGTGACCTCGAACCCGATCGGAGGAGATGACTCCGTCCTGTTCGCCGCCTCTCCGCCGGTACTGAGCCGTCCTGTCGCCATGGCGTCTTCGGGCTTCACCTGCGGCCCGGACAGCCCCGCAGGTCGGTCCCGCTTCCCCCGCAGCCTTTATTCATCAGTTTCTCTGCTGATTGGCAGCAGCCAAAACAAATGCAAAAAAAAAAAAAAAATCATAGGGGTTTTCATTCCACCTTTTGTAGAATCCTTTGTTTGTGTCTAAGCTCGATCTTCGCTTGAGAAGAGCCTTTACAGGTGGATGAAAGCTTAAAGGGACATTCTGTAGATTTAAGGCTGTAGAGACGTGTGGATCTGCGTCATAGCCTGTCGTTGTGATCAGGTGTCCTTTCCTTGACTATACAGGGCTTTTTGTTTTATTCTAATATTCTAATTATGTGTGTGGCGTTTGTATGTATTCTGAGGATAACGACAAAATAGTTCATATTCTGAGTGGCAACATATTTTCATACAGATACAATAACATGTGGGCCAGGTTTTTTTCTTTTTTTAATGGAAACTAAAAAAAATACATAAATAAATAATAAATAATAATAATTGAAAAAAAAACGTAACATTTTAAAAGAGCCAAAAAGCATCTTGGAGCTCTAGAGACACAGGTTCCAGTTCTACAGGGGCCCTGGTCCCTGTTGGCCCTTTTCTAGCACCGCCCATGTCGCAGCCTCCTGTCTGCCTGGGTTTGTCTCTACAGACTCCCCACCTTTTTGTCAGAGTATTTTCTGCCATTCCTCTGGAAGCACGTCTTACTAAGAAACACATGAGGGTCTAATAAGACAAAGACTGAGTCATTTTGCCAGATGTTTAGAGGAGTTCAAAGCCAATGCACACTGTAGGAACTTTGAGGCACGGTGGTGGCAGCAGCATCCTAAGGGTCTGTTTTGCTGACTCAACGTAACAGCTTAAAATTCCTGTATTCTTCTTTCGTTTTCCTTAGAAAAGCAGAGACTGCTGTCCTCCAAGTCCGGCTACGGATCCCAGGACGCGTTCGGATGCTCTGGTCTTGCGGGCGCCCAGTTCCGCGGGCAGCCACGGGATGAAGACGAGGAGGAAGAGGCTCTGAGGAGGAAACTCAAGTACTTCTTCATGAGTCCTTGTGACAAGTACCACGCCAAGGGGCGCAAACCTTTCAAACTGGGGCTGCAGCTGCTGAAGATCGTCATCGTGACTGTGCAGGTAGACGCAGTGGTGACCCACGGAAGCGCCGTGTGGTGAGCAGAAGGGTTGGGCCGATGAATCGGCCCAGACTTGCCTAATTTTGGGAGATCGGCCATGTGAAACCGATCCCATCTACCTCCACAAACCAATAGTCACCCCCACCTTTAGCAGTTTGTTGCTATATTTAGTGATTTTTCAATAAAAAAAACCAATTGTCTTTTGGCCAAAGTCCAAGAGACATGCAGTCGGTGCAGCCCCTGTCCTCAGACGGCCATTTCAGTGGCGTTGCCGCGTCGTTTCCCTCCAGTCTGTCGTAGCTAACGGTGTCTTCCCTTCGCCTCCCAGTTGGTGCTGTTCGGTCTGAGCAACCAGATGGTCGTGACTTTCAAGGAGGAAAACACGGCGACGTTCAAGCACCTGTTCCTGAAGGGTTACCAGGACAACCGTCCACAGGCTGTCCACAATCAGTCGGAGCTGTACAGCCGCATCGGCTTCGTCGTAGAGCAGGTGGGCCGGACGTTCCCCAGACGGAAACTTGCATTGCCTTTCAAAAGTATTGACACCTCAAACGTCAATGATTTTTACTGAGGTTTTTATCAGATAAACCAAGACAAAGCTGTGTGTAGAAAACGATGTCTTGTTTTAAAAATGTTTCAGGAATAAAAATGTGGAATTCATTTTTGTTGAGTCTCTCTAGGACAATGTTTTTCTCTACTGAGATCTGCAAATCTAGAGACGTTTTCAGCCTGGTGCTTTTAGGGTTTCTTTTCTGCCACTAACCTAAATATGACATTTGGCAGTTGTGATCTACAGTGTTTAGATCTAGAGGTCAGTGCACCAGAATGTCCAACCTGACAAATGTCTGAGGGCCTTGGGGCGTGAATACTTTTAAAAACCGAACACAGGTTCGGTGTCGGATCCCTGGTGTTTTTCATTCTGCTGCGTTTTTTCTTCTGTGTTGATAGTACATGGCTCTGCCTCAGATCGCACTGGGCCGGTATGCATACGTGAAGGGCGTGGGCGTGGACGGGAGCGCTCTCTCCCTCTGCCAGAGGTACTTCAAGAAGGGCGCCATCGATCCCGTCAACGACACGTTTGACATCGACCCCCATGTCGTCACAGGTGGGAGCAGTTTTTCTCTTTTTGGTAGACGGCGGTATTGAAAATAATGAAAGAAAAAGGCCTAGTCCAAGCTCAAATATTTTTTTTTGTCAAAGACCGGTTCAAGACCACGTCATTTAGGTCCCCAGCCGATTGCCCGGTAACCTCTGGTCCCAAAACCAGATTGCTGATCTCAAATTAGCTGCCTTATAGTGCTAGACTGTTTTAAAGAATTTCTCCTCAAAGGGTCACATTAGAGTTCATGCAAAGTGCAACATTTCTCATTCATTTTCAGAAATCACAGCACATAGACAAGCTGTGTGGATGCAACAAAACCTCATTCTCCATTTCTGTAGTTAACACCAGATCGATGTTTGAGGAAATCTTTAGACGCTCTGCCCTGCTTTTACACGACTCTTGTGCTCTTGGCGCAAACACGTGTTTTCCACATATTTGCAACAAACCAGGTGTTTTCTTGGGAACGCCGCTATTTGCACACATCTGCTGATGCTGCAGCGATTGCCAGACCCAGCTTTGGTGATTAAAATAGCAAGGCGAGCGGAAATAAAAGCCCGGCTGCATGTGGTCGACTGTGCGCTCGAAAGCTTTAGGGAAGTGCAGAAATTTCATGTTGGCTTTCATGTGATGTGGAAAGAAACCTGACGCTTGTATGGCTTTGAAACGGGACTTCCTCATTCGGCTTTTTTCGGTTCTGTCACGGCTATTTTCTGATGTCGTTTTCCAGATTGCATCGGTCTCGATCCGACCGCCGACAGCCCTGTGACGAGAAACGCCGACTACAAGAACTTCACCCTCCAGTTTTACAAGTTAGATGATGTTTTTTTTTTTTTTTTTTTGTTACGCTTAACATTATAAGTTCTCCGGAGCTCCAGTTGTGCACCTATTAGCAAATATCAGCATTTCCGTTCTAACAGATTTATGGAGTTTACATTTTGTTTTGTTTTGTTGCTACATTTTCATGTTTCAGATCATCAAACAGATGTTTTACATCAAATGTAACCTGAGTAAACACAAAAGGCTGTTTCCTAATGGTTGTTTTTATTTATTTAGGAGAAACAAAAAAACATACTGATCCAGATTTTTGACAAAGTCACACCAGAACCTCCATTTTCTTTTCTGATAACCTTTGACGTTAGAGGCCGTGTTGGTTCAGATCTCAGTTTTCTCTCGATACGCAGCAGAACCATTGGGAAACTGCCTTTTTCATTTACCGAAGTCGATTTCGTCTGCTGATGAATGCGATTAAGACGGGAGAGACGTGCTTCTCCTCAGCTCTGTGCTCGTTTCCCCTTCAGGCTGATCAACGTTACGGTTGACTTCCAGCTGAAGGCCATCAACATTCAGACAATAATCAATAATGAAATCCCCGACTGCTACACCTTCGCCATCACGGTGAGCTTCGTTTTCAGTCGTTTTTCAGCTGCTTTAACCCCGAAATGATCAATTATTAGACGTTTTCTTGTCTTGTCCTGCTTTAGTAAGGAATTAATTTATTTCAATCTTATGCAGAAGAAAATCTTGCAGAAAAATCTTCAGAAAAGCAGCTGGGGAGAGAAAAAGGTTATAGTTTGTAAAGCCTCTTAGCAGCTGCCTCCTGGCTGATGAACTAAACCTCACCGCCACCGAGGCTTGACATCTACGGAAGAGGATTAGTGCCACTAAGCTTAGTTTCTTCTCAAAATTCTGAGAAAAAGAAAGTCCAAAATAAGACTTTAATATCAGATTTCTGACTTTAATCCAGGGTTACCCAAACCCCATCCCTTGAAATAAAACAAAACTAACTTACAAGTAACTTTTCAGTAAGATATTGGCTAATTATTTAAGGCAATAGTTCCTTAATATTGATTTAAAAATTCTAGCTCCACTTGTAGATTATTTCACTTATAATGAAACATTTTTTCCAACGTTACATGTGAAAAAAGTTACTTGTAAGTTAATTTTGTCTTATTTCAAGTGTGCTAAGATATTTAGACCAGAAACTAGAACAGAAATGGTAACATTTTGTGTTCTCGCGACGTATGTTTACCAATGTTCCCCCGATGAAGATGTTTTAAGTCGGAAGTTCCCAAAGGTCCCGGTTGAACAAAGAGAAATGCGACGGGAACGTTTGGTCCGGCCTGGATGAGCTGCGACCTGCTAATGAGCGAAGCGTTTCCTGTTCGTCTCACCCGGCTCTCGCTGTGCTCTCAGATCGTCTTCGACAACAAAGCTCACAGCGGCGAAATCAAGATCCTCCTCCAGAACCAGGCCTCCATAAAGGAGTGTAAAGACACAAACGTGTCCGGACACGGTGAGTCACAGTTGAGACTTTTCCCAGAATTCCAGAAAAGGGCTTTGATTGGACTCAGTTCTCTCCTCCCCCGATCAGCGGAGAGCTACGCCAGAGAGTTCTTCGACGTGGTGGTGGCGATCGTCTGCCTGCTGTCGCTGCTGCTCTGCGGCCGCTCCATCCTCAGAGGAATCCTCCTTCAACGGGTAGGAAACAGGAACAACTCTTCTCTACTTTCCTTCATCCCCCCCACTCAGCTCCTTCAGACTAGCCAGCAGCAATTAGCAAACACCTGGTGGAACTGTGCATCTGCCGAGCTTATTATAAGAGCTGATGCTCAGTGAAACACCGGTAAAGACGTTGTAAAGCCATGTTATCACGACTACCTGAAGGCGTGAGCAGGAGCTTCTTAAAGAGACAGAGACCCAATTTCAAGGCATTATATTACAGTGAAATTTCTTTGAAGTCATACCTCATATATGTAGCATTTTCCTAATAACTGACAGCAACATAGAGACTTGATGGTGCCATAAAATGCCACTATGTGCTGCAGATAGATGAAGCTTTAGGCCGTTTGAAAAACGTGTAAATGGAAAGCTGCTGTTGTTGCTGTCGCTTGAAGACGAGCGCTGCTGCTCAAACCGTGTCACCAACGTCTGCCTTCATGCGTCACTGGGATGTTTGGAGTCCTGACCGTGTTCCCTCTCCCGAAACAGGAATACGTTCGCTTTTTCAAGCACAAGCTGGAGCGCACGGTCAGCTGGGGGGACAGGATGGAGTTCATCAACGGCTGGTACATCCTACTCGTCGTCAGCGACTTGTTCACCATCATCGGCAGCTTCATCAAGATCGGGATCGAGTCCAAGGTGGGTTCAGCGCGCCGTGAGGAACGTTCTGGGAACGCATGGAAAAATATGATCTTTCTTCCTGTCCTGCCTTCATTGTTTTTTACTACTTCTTCTTCTTCTTTTTTATGTCTTTTTTTTATCTCTCTCATTCTCTCTTTCTAAATTTTTCCTTCTAAATCTTTTTTTAAATCTTTGTTTCTAAACCTTTATTTTTTAAGTCTTTCTTTCTGAATTTTTCTAAATATTCTTTTATTAGATCTTTCTGAATCCTTCTTTTTTGAAATATATTTACAAAGCTCTCTTTTCCCTCATGAAATGGCTACAAAATGCTGAGAAATCCCGAATTTTGAGTCTGGATACTGTGAAGGAATCCTGAACAGATCACTTTCCACCCGGAATAATATTCCCATTTTGCTACAGCAGAAATCCTTCCACACCGAACGCCAGCCGTACTTACCTCCTGACTAACCGCGATGTGTCGCGTTGCAGACTCTATCGTCGTACGACGTGTGTGGGATCCTGCTGGGAACGTCCACTCTGCTGGTGTGGGTGGGAGTCATCCGCTACTTCAGCTTCTTCCAGAAATACAACGTAACCGCCGGACGTTTTCTTCCACCAGGACAGACAGCATGTCGCATCTTTTTCTGCGTGTCGGACGCTCGTCATGTTGTCGTCTCTGTTCGCACAGATCCTGATAGTGACTCTCAGAGCTGCTTTTCCGAACGTCATCCGCTTCTGCTGCTGCGTGGCTGTGATTTATTTGGGATACTGCTTCTGCGGATGGATCGTCCTGGGGCCCTACCACACCAAGGTACGCAGCTCACGCTCTGCAGTCGCGGGTTTATTCTGACAATGTTTTGATGATGAACGTCAACGCGCGGCGATTCGCTCTGAGTGTCGTTTGATGCGTTTGGGGTTTTTTTCTCTTGTGAAGCGGGCCGGCGGGCGTTCTTAACATTTCATCGTTAATGTACGTTGTTTATTGTATTGTTAATCGTTTGTCGAAAAAAAAAAAAAACAATAAATAAATTCTGGTCATGATGAGAGTTTTTATTTTATTGGTGTCGCCAAACAAATTCACTTAATGTTAAAAAACCTGACAAAATGTCATTTTTGCTTTTTTCTCCATTTTTTATTTTTTTGCATGAGAGCATCAATAAACATCAACGAATTTTCAAATACAATTAAATGTGGTCGCTATGTCGAGATGAGTGACATAAGTCAGACTTTTTCTCAGTATGTGGCATCAGCTTGTTTCAAATAAGAATGTTTTTATGTTTGCGGCGCTACGAATTCTGCACCATGCGGTTACCTAAAAAATAAATAATACACACAGTGGGGGGATTTCAATTCACAATTTTTATTGTTATCACAATAGGACTACAAAATATTGTGATACAACTAGGTCCGCATCGCCCTCCCATAGTCGGGCCCTTCCGCTTTAGAGTTTCTGTTTCGTGCTTCCGGGTTTTCAGTTTGTAAAATCTGCTGAAAGTCGCCGTTTTACACTGGATTACGTGTGTGCAGTTTCGCTCCCTGTCCACGGTGTCTGAGTGCCTGTTCTCCCTCATCAACGGGGACGACATGTTCGTGACGTTTGCTGAGATGGAGCAGAGCGGCACCCTGGTGTGGGTCTTCAGCCAGGTCTACCTCTACACCTTCATCTCCCTGTTCATCTACATGGTGCTGTCCCTCTTCATCGCGCTCATCACCGGAGCCTACGACACCATCACGGTACCTACGGCTGTGTGTGGTTTGAGACACGCCCACGCCTGAGAATAGAAATGTCTGGGTTTTCTTCCCGCCTTCAACCTCCTTTTCTTTCCCCGGCAGGCCCAAACGAGGGAGCAGGCGCCGGAGACGGACCTGCACGCGTTCATCGCGCAGTGCGCAGACACGCCCAGCTCCGGCAAGTTCCGCGGCCCGGACGGGTCGTCGTGCTCCTTCCTCTGCTGCTGCTGCCAGTGGTGAGGAAGACGACGAAATGGATACACACACACACACACACACACACCCCCACACACACACACACACACACATAAAAAAAAGAGAAGTGAGTGACATCTGCGTCAAAATGCAAAAGGCTGTTAAAGTTTTTATTTATTTATTTATTTTAATCTTCATAGACCCACATTGCCTCTCCGCTGACAGTAGCACTCCTTTCTCCAGACGCTCAGCAGGAGGGCTGGCGGAGCGAACCGGCTGACCTTGGGCCACTTTTGTCCTTCGGTGCCAGCGTTTCAGTTTTGGATTTAAATTTGTTCGGCACAGTCGCAGGTCCAATTAACCTGCCTCCGTTTTTGTACTGTATGAATAATCTGCTGCCTTTCGCTCAGTCTTTCAGGCCTTAGGTTGCCAGACCCGCGGCGCCAGGGAACAGAAATTCATTGCTCAAGACTTGGAAATGGGTTTTCATCAAGTGGAATCAGGGAACCTTTTTGCTTGGTTCCTTAACAAAAGCCGGTTTGCTTACTGGTGAGAAAAGAGCAAGAGGAGAAACAGTGACACGCCCAGAGGCATTCTTCACTGTTGCTCCTGGTTGCTTATTAGTTAGCTAACCAAGCTATATTTTGAATCAGGCAAATGGTTGTGTTTTATTTGTTTTTTAATTAAAAAATATAACATTTTACAATATTTCCACTGTGAACAACCTCAATCATTGAGACACTGAATATCAAAAGCGAGCGATTCTAGCATTCAATAACATGGAAGCTTTTATTTGAAGCTAATTTGCTCTCAGCATCAACCTTAGCAAACATTAGCTATCACTTAGCATGCTAGCAACTTTGGAATGATTGTTTTATTCTCTTTTTCTTGTACTTTTTATGATGCATTGTTACTTTAAAGGGACAGAGAACATGTTACTGTCTGAACTCCGTTTAGGACAGATCTTTTTTAGGGTGAACATTTGTGGAAGTTTTATAGATTATTTTATTTTACGTTGTAGATTAAACCTACAAAAGAGAAATTGTATTGCAGCACTTTTAAAATTGATCTTTATTATTCTGTAATATATGAAAAAAATAGTTAATATAAGCTAGTTTGCAATCTCATAGCGTTGACCCTTGCTGACATTAGCTAGCATTTGAAAATGTGTTTAGTCTTTGAAATTTCAGCATTCTTGGTCTTATTCTCTTTTCGCTCATTTTGTTCTTAGTTTGTGTTCAAATCTATGTTTTTTCCATGTTGACATTGAACGTAGGCAGTTTTGATTATTCTGTTTGTTGTTTTATTGTTAACTTGAGAAAGTGTGATAGCTGGTTATTTCATCTGGGTATGAAATGCTCTCCTTTGTATGCCTTTAAAAATATTGTTTATGAAAACTTTTGAAAGTGCACTAATCATTCCAGGACTTTTTACTTGTTTTCTGTCGTTTGTGGGTTTTATTGCTTTTTTTGCACTTTAATTTAAACACATAAACTCTTTTTACAATCGCAAAAGTAATGATTGTAGTTGATTCATGTGCACAGAAATTGTAAAGCTTTACTTAATTTGACGGTGACGCATCATAGTCATTAACAGAGCGAAGCATTGTAAGTGTAATGTATGAGCCGGTCTGTGTTTAGTTATAGGAAGGCCATTTCCATTTCTCACTGTGTTTGTTAGCATGTACTTCTGCCTTTTTCATTTTTACCTCAGTTTCAGAAGAGACAATAGCAAAAAAGGGGGAAGCAGTTAGCATGGAGCGTTATACACGGTCCGACTCAGTTTTCTGTACTGATGCTGTCTTAATGACGTGCACACTTCAGTTAAATAAACCGAAAAAAGGATGAGCATTGCTGTAGTTTGCTTTTTGTTTACCGTTTCATCGACAATTCCACATATTTTCGAAAGAGTTGATCTTTTAGAGCTTTGACCTCAATGTTAGGTGAGTTTCAGAGCTTAAAAGGTGGGAGAGGTTGTTCTCATATTGTTAAGTTTAGGCATCAGCTACTCAAAAGGCTAAATGCGACACAAATTAACTGATGTTTATGCTAACAACTATTAGCATCAGGGGTGCAACTTTGTACTTTCTGAGGTGTATGCAGATGCATTACAGATCACGGCATTAAAACATGCACAAACCTCTGTCACATTTCTGTCTTTCTCATTACCTACATTCTTGTCAATTAACTCTCAAATAAAGGCCACTCAAGCCCAAAACAAAATGGCCGAAAATTGTCAGTTTTGATCCTCCAAATGGGAAAACTTTTCTCTGCCGCCAAGCCTGGATCAGAAGAAAAAAAAATTCAAAATTCAATTCAGAAATACTTTATTGATCCAAAAGGAAAATTAAATGTTGTAGCTCATCAATTCAGATTCTTCAGAGTTATTGTGGACAGCTGATTGCTGTTGGCAGGACTGATCTTTTGTAGCAGTCTGTATTGCAGCAATCTGAAGAAGCCTCTGACTGACGTCCACTGACGACGTTCTTCGAATTTCAAAATGAACCACCTCTGGATGCCCGGATGTTCGTTGACGTTCGCAGTAGGTCAAAAACGCTATAGGGTTCTGCTAGGTCTGTAGAAATGCTAATATAACAGCAATTTCATTGCTCTGTGTGATATGGTGACCGGTTCATTAATGAGGCGATGGAGCCTTCAGACTGTCTTTATGTAGAACTGGACTTAATAGAGACCATGTAGTCCAGTTCTTACCTTTGTCTTATGTTCCTCGTACTTTGTTAGTGCAGTTAACCGCCACTAGAGGGCGGAAGCGTGCTCTTTCTCCTACCACAAGCAAACCAAACCCAGGAAATCAAAATGAGAGGCAATAAAGAAAAAAAACCCAAAGGCACTTTCCAAAGGAGGCCTGGTAAAAAATTAGTCACATTAAAAATATAAATAAATAATGTAGCAGAAAAGTGCTTGACCTTCAAATCTACTGTGTAAGTGGAAGTTCAGGTCAGCTGCTTCAGCAGGAAAAGAAGAGAAATAATGCACCCAGGTATTGTTCAGATGGAACAGACATCCAGGCAGTGGCTCCATAATGCGCTGGAGTTGAATCGCTGTCCAACAAGCGCAGCCTGTTCATGCATCATTCAGCAGAGGAAAGGTACCGGAGCTGATGCAGCAGCACTTACAGCTGATCTGATGAGGTCAGCTCCCAAAGCTGGTTAACACCATCTTTAAGAAACAATAATAATAAAATCTTTCTCTTGCAGAAAATAACAGCTTCGGAATGGTTTTCTGTAGGGTGGCGTTTGTAAAGTTACACAGTAAGACATTTATTTAGCCTGCTACAGAGAAAAGAAAAAAAAAATCAGTCATGTTTTCTCCATCCTACTCATACATTTATAAATGCCAGAGGCCCAGACTAAATACTTAATTCACAAACAAAATATTTAGTTCCAAGCTCAATGCTTAAATCTTACAAGCTTCATATTTAGTCCCAAATGAAATGTGCATTTTCCCAACTAAGATTTTAGTTAAAGATAATTATTTTTCCAGCTAAACATTTAATTGCCCAACTAAATGTTTAGCTTTCTAACTAAATATTTAGTTTCAAAAATATTTTTCCACCTAAGCATTTAACTTTCGAACTAAATATTTAACATGAGAGCTAGATGCTAAATATTTAGATTGTGAATTAAATATTTAGTTTGGGACTCTAATAGTGATTCATGTATGAATAAACTGGTGGAAATATGACTTTGAAAAATTACATTTTTTTTTTCTCTATGACAGCCTGAATAAACGACGCCCTTTAGGTCAGACATATTCACATTGTTGTCAGTGAGCATCGTTTGACCCACACGCTGCAGCAGGGAGTGCTGACCCGAGGGCATGATTAAAGTCCATTAATTAGGCGTTTGTTGCCTTCTTTTGTTCACACGTTGCTTGTCAGGGAGTGTGGAAGCATCCTGCATGCTAATGATATGCGGTGTTGGCGCATGGGGTTCTTCAGGGAATCCACGCTGCAGCTGCACCGGCGTGTGCTAACCTGCGCCAGCCAGCTCGCTATTCGTACACACACACACACACACACCGGATTTCTAATATAATGCTCGGCTTATTGGAGTGTGAACGGCTGCGTGTGCAGATGCCTCCTCGTGCTCTAGGAGGCCACTTGTGGTAATGATCCAGGGTGTCTGATGAGATGGGTGTGTCAGATGTGTGCAATGTGACTCTTCAGGCCGGAATAAATGAAACACAAGGAGCGTGCGCTTGTATCTGGATCTACTGCTAGTTAAATAACTAATGTGTTGAGCAAAACTGGAGGCCGGGTTAGGGTTAGGGTTTCAGTTTTTTGTTTTTGTTTTTTTTATTTGAATTTTTTTTCTGTGTGTGTGTGTGTGTGTGTGTGTGTGTGTGTGTGTGTGTGTGTGTGTGTGTGTGTGTGTGTGTGTGTGTGTGTGTGTGTGTGTGTGTGTGTGTGTGTGTGTGTGTGCGTTGCGGCCACCCACCCCAGCTGGACTCCGAGCAATGTAGGAAGAAACAAAAAAAAAAAACAATGAGATAAATAACAGGGGAACTGCGCGCCGAGGTACAGTTCCCTGCCCCTTCCTGTCTCCACTGCCGCCATAACCACCGCCTGTGTGGCGGAAAAAAAAAAAAGAAATTGAAAAAAAAAAAACACCATCTTCCTCTCTTTGTTGCTCCCGGTTGCCTGTGCCAATATGTCCATCAGCCTCTGGCGAGCAGGCAGTGAACGGCCCGGCTCACACCTTCTTCCCTCTCGGCTTCCTTTGCCTGCACACACCTGCACACAGGCACACAGAGGACGTGCCTTTGACCTCTGCACAGTCTGAACAACAGGTTAACTAGCTACTTTTAGTGCTTGTTACAGTATACATAAAAATTTATATTTTGCAAATCGTGTCAAACAATCTGAGCCACTGCTTATAGGAATTGTAAACTATCAGAGGCCTTACATTGATGCTTAAAGGGCCGGTATTGAGTAGAACCATTAGAGCCCAATCAATTTATTATGTTGCCCTAATTTGTTACAAAAATGTTACATACATCAACTATGACCTAAGAGAAATTTCACTTTGTAATTGATCTCCTTGAAATTGTGCCTCTGTCTCTTTAAGAAACTCCTCCTCTTTCTGAAACTCCGCCTTCAGGATCTCGTCAGTGACTACTAGCACTGCACTAAGAAGTGGCTCCTATAATGAGCCCAGCAGACACATAGTCCCTCCTGGTGTTTGCTAATTGCTGCTGGCTAGTCTAAAGGAACCGAGTGGGGGGAGGGCTGCTTTGTGAGGCAGGAGCTTCGAAGCTGCAGCTCAGAGGAGAAGTTTGGTCCTCGAAGGCGGGGCTACGTCCACCCCGGCGTTTTTCGCAGCTGAATGGTTGCCACGGGAGATCGAAGGATTTCTCAAACATGCACGAAAGAATGAAAGCGACTCGCCAGGTCTGTTTTTGTTGCCGGAATAACGTTATGATATAGTGCTCAAGAAAGAGTCGATTTTACATTACAGTAGACGGGAGATCTGGAATCTTTACATTTATTCTTGGAGAATTTGAATACGATTACATTTGAAACGTTTTTTCTTTTTAAAGATCGGTAACCGGTGGTCGGCTTGAACCTGAATAAGTCATCGGTAAATCGATAGATGATGTTCGGCATCCTCAGGTTTTCTGGAGGCGAATTCCTCCAAAGTGTGAGCAAAGACATCTGAGATCAGCCCGCTTCAGACAAAGCTTCCTCTGGCTGCATTTTACATATTCAGACAGATGAACATGCAGTTTCCTCCCCTTTTTTTTTTTTTTTTTTTTTTTTTTTTTTTTGTTTTTGCACCTCGAACTCAAACAAGAAACGCACAATCTAATCTTGCACTCTGCTACACCGCTCAGAGGAGGGCGGGGTGGGGCGAGGTGGGAGGTGGGGGCTGAAAATGAAGAGCGGATGACAGGCATGACACCAAGAAAGGAAAAAAAAAATCCCATCCAGAGCAGAGCAGCACACAAAAGCCTGGCTCATGCAGACGGGGGAACGGCAGGCGGCTGCTGGGGGCTGAGCACGCAGCAGACAGACAGACAGACAGGCAGGCAGACAGACAGACAGACAGACAGAGAGGCGGCGTGCCCACCCAGACAGCCTCCGATGAAAAGCCGCGTTCTGCAGAAACAAAAAGATTCAGCAGAGATGATTCAACACCATGTGCTGCTGCACTCTGACGGGGAGAGAAGTAAAAAATAAAAATAAAAAAAACAATTTGTCCACATTTCTGCACATTGCTGTCTTTGTGTCTGAAAGCTCACAAAAAATATATATGTACATATATATTAACTGCACATGGTGGACATTTGCAAACAGATACACATCCTGTTTTAAGACATTAATATTACATTTTATTTTATTTTTTAAAAATCAACAGGTTTGAGATGCATTCAGGGTGTTCTCCTGCGACAGTGGCACTGAAAGCGGACAATGCAGCCAACTTGATGCATGCGGCGCAGCCCTGCTTCACCGTGCGAGTGTGTGTGCGCAGTGGGGCATGGAGAATAGAAGAAAAGAGTTTGAACAGTCGAGATAAAGAGCTCTAGGGGCTTGGAGGGTAGGGGCACCAGACAACTGGGAAAAACTCGGACGAGAGAGTAGGGTGACATCATCCTTGATTTGAATAATCTCCCCCCCCCACCCAGGACCCCCATTCAGACTGGAGGGGATTGGTTGCTTTCAGTGGAGGAAAAAAAAAAAAGAGAGAGAGAGAGAGTTCCTTGCTATTCACTCTTTCAATTTTGCCATTCTGTCTGGTGAATGCTCCATTCACGGACTCCTAGTAAAGACATTTTTTTTTGACAGGGCAAAAACAGAGAATGATCTGCTGTTGATATGTACCATCCATTTTAGAGGCAACTGTATCCACGTACGTTGGCTCGCAAAAAGTTTTCACGCCTGTTGAGCTTTTCGGTCTCCAGTCTCAATGAAATGAAATGAAAATCTGAGAAGTGTGGCGTGCATTTATAGTCGACCCTGCTGAGTCAGCGCACTGCTGCAAGTGTTGCCTTATTACAACCGCAAGCTTCAACGGGCTTTATTGAGGTTTTTATTACCAACACGGTGAACCCACAGCATGACTCTGTCACCACCATGGTGATGTTGTCATCCCTGTCGGGAAGATGTACATGTCACATAATTTATATAAAATATATTTTTTTTATTTACTGTTTACTATACCCAGTTACATTATTGGTTTGTTTATTTTTTGTCTTCCCTCAGCTTTCCTGTCTGGCCACTATGCGATAAAAAATCTTTTAATATCGATGTCTCTTTGAATAAATCAATCAAACGATGTGTTCAGCGTGCAAATATTCTAATGATGATAAATTCCTAAAATGCCTATTAAAATAATGCTACGTCATTTTGTTCTACGCACGTTCCAGGAAAACTAAAAGTGAAATGCCAAGAATAATTTTTTTAAAGAACCCGCAGTCACAGAATTTGGTGTTTGACAAAAAACAAAATGCATCTACACAGCATGCCGGTGGCCAACATTTCCGAGCAGCACGCGAATGCACCAGCCTCTCCTCCGCCCGTTCCATCCCTCCGTTCGCCGGCTCCAGTGTGGTGAGTGAGTGAGTGAGTGAGTGAAGTGAAGCGAACCGTCACTCTCCTCCTTTCTTCCTTCGAGGTTTGCGCGCATCACTTGTGGGGAAACGGCGCTCGCGACTCACAAGTTCGTTGTCCGTTGGCTCGGTTCGACTTGACTTCGCCGTCCCCCTCCCCGAACCCCCCGGTGCCCTCCGACTCTCAGCCCGGCGTTATCTTCCAATTTCATCCCCGCTTTCCGACTCCGAGAGGCGGCGGACCGGCTGCCACCGACTGGGCGTAGCTGGAGAGGATTTTGCTGGCTTGCAGTGACGCTAACCGGTAAGTCCCAGATTGGTTCAGCTTTAGCTAGCGTGCTAAAGTCGGTGACAGCAAATAATAATAATTAAAAAAAACAACAACAACAACAACAACGGTGGCTTAGAAATCAACGTCCTGTCTGGTGACCGTTGAAGGCGTCTGCGCCATTACCGTTTCTGTTACATTTGAAACAGACGTAGAAAGTGTTGGAATCACAGTTGCCGTTTGGTTTTGAGTGGGTATTTGTGTCGGACGCGTCAAATAAAACGTGCCCAGGCTTCGTTCGGGGATGTCACGCCGCCTTTGTGTGGCGAGGTGCTCCGCTCCCGTGGATGTGACTCGAGTGGGGCGGTGGCGGCCGCGCTGCGTGGTCGCCAAACTGCCCGGCAGACCTGTTAGCCACAAACCAGTACAACCAGTTAAATTGCTTTAGCGCGTTCCTTGTCCTAACGCAGAAAACACGTTTTCCCTCCTTTTGGGAGGATTTCATCCGCCTTTTCACCCTGAACTTTTTTTTTTTTTTTTTTTTTAGCCCCCTCTTTTCCCTCTTCTTGTCTCCCCTCCTCCATCCTTCATCGTGGATTCCCATTGTTCTGTGATGGGCAAAAGTAGTGTGAGAAGCGAGAGATGTTCCAGCCGCCTCTGGGGGGTGGATGGGTGGGTGGGTGATGGAGGAGATTTCAATTTTTCCTTCTTTTTCTGTGTGTGAAAATGAATAGCTTCTTAATTCTCTTTTTTTCCTTCTTCATAGAACATTTCCCCCATCAGCATGTTAAGGCAATGACCTCTTCGGAAGCCGAAGGGGAAGAGTGGAGTGGAAATATCTCTAAATAGAGTAGAGCACAGCTGTGGTATAATCAGAGGTGATTAATGTCAACCCCTCTAAAAGTGATCGGCCATTGTGGTTTAAGGCCTTCCTACCCTCTCCACCCCCTTTTTTTTATTTTTTGGCAAGTGAGCAAGAATTTGTTGTATTCCAAACGAACACAGCAAATAAGGGACCCGAAAAGACAAACCAGTGCAATTCATACACAAATCGTAGGGAGGAAGCGGTCGGTTACATATCGGAATGAAAACACTTTGTCTCGATTGGTGATCAGCAAACCGAATACCTGAGATCCGATTTCTTTCGTTCTTTTATTCTGATCTTTGTGTGTGTACATTTGTCAATCATTTTCAGTCTACAAGTGTTCCAACGAACAGCTTAAAATCAAATCAATTTTAGTAAGAGTTTTTGTAATTCTTTCATTTTTTTCTTGGATTTAGAACATCTTTATTAAAGAGCTTGGACTACATTTGTCTTTTGTGCTTATAGACCTTGCTATGGATTCAAAAATGGGTTTAAGGACTCATCAAAAATGGGAATTAGCTTAATTACTGAAAAATGAAAAAATCCAATCATATAGAGGTCAAATGACCTTGAGTAGCTGCTTACAGCATAATTAAATCACGATTCTAAAACATAGATTAGGGAGGCACCTTAATTTTGGGATTTCGTCGATCAGCCGATGTTTACACGTGAAGCCGATCTTAAAGAGGTATGACTGACAGGTTCCCAGTTAACAATAGTCACCCCACTGTTGCCAACTTTGCGACTTTTTTCAGTATATATAGCAACATTTCGAAAAAAAAAAAAAATCAGTACTAGCTAAAAATCCCTAATAGAAGTCCACCAATCAGACGTTTGTGAAAAATCATTTGCAGGGACTTCTGGTTTTCTTTGAACTGACAGCATAATAAAAAAAATGTTTTTCAGGTACTTTGATAGAAGTGAAGAAGTGAATCTAAGCGAGCCCAGGTGATTGAGTATGAAGGACTTTTTCTAGGGCAGAACTGCTAGAAGAAAAGAGTGGAGCCTCAAGTCTTTCTGGTCGGCCCACAGCCGTGTTCTGTTCCCTTGTTATGCAGACAACAGCATAAATAGTCTGAAACCCCGTGGGCAAAGCCGGATTGGGTTGGTCGGTAATGTGTGGTGATCCACCATGATGTTGATGTCATCCTGAATAAATGGCATCCCAGGGCAACGAAGATGAGCTTTTTTTTTAAGAGCTGCCCATTCTGGGGCTTGGAGGCTCTCCAGCACTCCTAAGTCAGGGGTGAGCCAGACTGCACCCCTTCCCCCTTCCCTTCACCCTCCTCACACCATCAACCACATCCCCACGCCACAGGATGGATGAACGAATGGCTGACTCACTCTGCTTCTGGGATGAGGCTGGACCGAGCTTGATGCAATCATTTGAAATTAAATTTACCAGCCATTAAAAGGCGCACCGATTTGAAATGAAGTTATTTGAAAAAATATTACTTAGAGCATGTGGATTAAAGCCAGGGGCGTTCTGTTTGTAGGGAGGATTTATTGGAAATCAAACAAAAACAAATTAAGGTGACCCAAGAAATCTGTGTGGGAAAGATATAAATATTGGGATATCATTTTACTGCTTCGTGGTGAGGTTTAAAAAGGGGTTTGAAGTCACCAGTGAAATTGATTCTACATGAGTCTTCATTGTAAGCTGTGTGTTTATACCTTTATATATATATATATATATATATATATAAAAAGGGAAGGCAAAAATAAAGCAATTACTGAGGTGTTTGCAGAATCTCAATTTTCTTCCTCTCTGTTTTGGTATGACTTGTTGATAATTTGACCAGTAACATGTTTTATTGAGGTTACATTTCAGGGAGATTAGGTCTCCTGCTTTATAAACCAAGTCCTTTGCTTTCAACACGCTAATTTTTCCTGGTTAGCATTTCAGCCGCATACTGTTCCGTTCTGTCTCTGCTTTTCTTACTGAATATCAGTGGGAAAAGTTCAAAACTCTTAGCTCGTCACAGAAAATCCAGAGTAATAAACTGATCATGCTTGGACATGAGCTTTAGCTTTATGATCTGACATTTAACGTCAGTGCGTAAGGAATTCATCATGATTGGAAGCAGTTACTCTTTATGTCAAGTGATTAATCTCTGACTATTTGGATTAGACTCATCAGTCAGCTGAGTATGCTAATTTTTACTCTCTTGTGTATTTAACTTGCATTTCAGTGTTCTGTAAAGTGGTCCACTTATGAAATGGATTTATGTGATCTGATGTTTGGGCCGTTTTAAATGCTAATAGCTCATTTAGCCTCAAGCTGCCCTCTTGACCCCGAGCTTCAGCTCTGAGAGGAGAGATGATGGCTGCGTTAATAGACACATGTGTCGTCGTTCCTCTAGCCTAAGGGCTGGTGTTGGTGGGAGTGTGACTCACAATAAAATCCCCCGCCCCCAGCTCTGAACTCGATTGTGACAGGGGCGAGTTTGTGCCTCTGGTCATCAAGCTTTTTTCAGCCTTAACCCGGGGCTCTTGCTCTCCTTGGCGTCATTACAAATTTCTGTAGCTCTTTTCTAATCCATTAAAACCACACAATAGTTTCTTGTTTTGAGATTATCTAAACACCAACAGAAACAGTCTTTTTTTTTTTTTGTCAGAATTTCCCCCTGTTGTCCCGGCGATAGGCGCCTCAGGGAAACCCACTCTGGGCGCCACACTACATTTGCAAAGCGACGATAAAGTGGAGATAAGCCCCGCTGTTGTCTGTGCTCTTGGTTCTGATAGTAGCCGCGGTCGGTAGTATCGCAGTTGTCCACGCACGCAGTTGGCAACTGGTGGTGCAGTTTGGAGATTGGGTTTGGCAACAGCTGCAGTAATTTGCTGTGTTTGGACAATCTAAATTCCCCTGGTGGGAGCATAGATAATGAACACAGTTCACAGATCAGTTGCTAGGCTTCTGGACTGGGTTTCTTTTCTTTCTTTTTTTTTCCTTTTTCTTCAAAATGCATTTGTGAGGCTTAGTCTTTTGTTGCTGGGCTGTCTTGGAGATTGTGATTATTGAGTCACTTTTGGGTCCCAGATAAAATTGAGCTCATCCTAACTTTGTTGATGTCAACCTTTCATTCTATTGTAATAGAGGTGACACGCAGGTTATTGTCATGTATTTTTAACTGTAAAATTGAAGTTTATTATTTTTACAATAGAGACCATGTTCTTTGATTTTGCTAGTAGCAAATCAAAGTTTCTCTTCATGTTTTCTGAACAATGTAGTTTCTTATCTTTATCTAACCCCAAGTATAGACACCCGCAGTGGAGAAATTCCACCCAAAGTAGAATCCACAGTCTAAATCATTTGGCATCTGAAATATGTATTTAAACACATCAGAAACGTTATAGATTTGTTACATTGTGATATTGATATTAATTTTGATTCACTAGTTTGTGTAGCTATAGTCCCTCTGTGAGTCGAAATTGCCATCCTGAGATAGAATACTGCTTTTTTTGTATCCACGAAACAGTTTGGGACTAAAGACTAAAACCTCAAGTTCTTGAAATGGAAAAGGAACCTGCCAAAGTCTAGCTTTCTGTTGTAGGATTCTGAATAAACAGCAAACACGCCTCTCTACAAAGTACAGTTTCCTTTGACGTAAGCAGGGCTGGTCGATATGACTGAAAAATGTATCACGATATTAGCATTTCATATGTCAATATCGATAATTATTGTATAGTGTTTTTGTTCTACATATCCAAAATACTCTCAAGCTGGTAATGTGATCTTCATCCACAATTTTCTCTTAATCTGTTGCACTCATGTTCTGTTTTCACTTCGTTTCTGGCAGTCTGCGAGTTTGACAAGCTAACCGGGAGCCTAGCCCCATTTCTTCTCTACCATATAAGCCACCTTACACCTGTTACTCCTGCACAGTCACACTACTCATTCTGAACAGTTCGATGTGAACACAGTTTCATGCCAAACAGTTTCCTGTCCGAGTCTTTGAGCCAATGAGTACGCGATTGTAAAAACTGACCATTGTGCGGACGTGTCTGGCGAACTTCTGCTTTGAGTCAAGTGCGGACCTCCAAGGAGTGAAGTATGGCCGTGATTGTTGGGGCAACATGAAAATGATGCTGCACATGTTAATCAACAGGCTCTTACCAGAGAGAGTGAATAGTTGATATCACCAACCTTGCTGTAAGAGGTAAAGCTTAA